AGAAAATGCAAAAGAACAAAACCTTAAGGACAAAGATTTTATCACTAGTTGAGTTTTCTTGGAAACAAAAAGATTGTATAGTCTCAAATAATGTCAGAGGAGCCCATGCGGCTGAATAGGCAGCTCACAAAGGAGTTTGAGATTAAAGAAGAGTGTTTATTTGAAGTGGAAGAAAGGATTAACATTCAAAGAAGTCTTCCCATATTTAGCTCAGAAATTATGTATAAGGTCAGGAAGGCAAATGTGGAAAACTAAAACTGTTCAATAAGGCAAAATTCAATAAGAAGGATTTTTTTCATATACCGGTATGTCAGTAGCAAGAGGAAATCAAAGGAAGTGTAAACCTATGGCTTACTCCACACTAGGAGATCCTAACGTGATTAAGAGAAAGTGTGAGAACTCCAGTTTTTGGCTCTTTCTCTCCAAAGGAAATGATGATTTCAGTAGCATAGATTAAGAACAAAAAAAATTTGAAGGCTTAGGTCAGCTAATTTGAATCTACTAATTTCATGTCACAACAGAAAAAGCTGATGTGTAGAGCAGAGGTCCCCAACCTTTTGGGCACCAGGGACCAGTTCCGTGGAGAGAGGTTTTTCCATGGACGGAGGATGCGTGGTTTTGTGTGCTGCCTGCATCTCGTGGATGGGGCTTTGCTTGTTTGTGCAGACCAGTTGCTGGCATGCCGCAGCCCGGTACTGGTCCATGGAGCAGGGGTTGGGGACCCCGGTGTAGAGCATAATCAATAAAGCCTAACACAGTGATGGCAAACCTTTTAGAGACCAAGTGCCCAAAAACCGCCCCACCCCTGCTCTGCTCGCCTGCTCTGCCCCTTCTGCCGCCGCTCCGCCTCCCCGCCTCTGCAGGGCCACCCACCACCTCCACGGCCTGCCGCAGCAGATTGCCCAGGCAGTCGTGCAGTGCCATGGCGGCCACGCCCTCAACTCATGCCCAACAGCATCATCTGCATGCGACGGGGCACAAGGGTGGAATCTTGTCCCTGCTGCCTGGCTGCCATGTGCTTGGCTGTGCTGCTCTGCGCGGGCTGCACCAGGGGCCGACTCTCCTCCGGGGGGGCTGCTGGTGAGGGGGCAGTGAGGGGGAGGCGGGGCTGGGGCGATGGCGTACGTGCCCACAGAGAGGGCTCTGAGTGCCGCCTCGGGCACGCGTGCCATAGGTTCGCCACCACTGGCCTAACACTTCCCTGAAATCCACATTTTCCAACTAATTGGACCCTCTTCAGGTTCCCAGATTGTAAGGAAATACCCTTAAAATACTGAAGGTTCTGGTTGAAGAATTATTAGGACTTCGGGGGGAAAAGTGTTAGAGGATAGGAGAAGAGCAAATAGAATACCTGGCATTAAGAAAAGAAAAATAAAGTTAACATAATAATTTAAACCTAACATCAATATCTGTAATATGTTAAAGAGTAGATAATAAAGCAACCATTTGTAGCCAAAATGAAGACTGTGCTGTGCATTCTAAAAGTCAGCACTGTTTTGTCAAAAATAGGTGAGACAAATCTTATCTTTTTTTCTTTGACAAGATAAAAAGCTATACTGGTATGAATGGATAGCAATGCAATAAAATGGGTCCATAATTAACTAGCTAACCACACTCCAGTCAGCATTAATAGCTCCTTAGTGAGTGGGAGAGAAGCAAGTAATGGTCTCTATGTTGCCCCAATATCAATCAGCAATTTGAAATGGATGAGTTGCTCATCCTGTTTGCAGTTGAAACACAATTAAGAAATCTGGACAGTAACCAGGATCTAACAATATTACAATCTAAATTGCACTGTTTGGGAAACAGGACTAAGAGGAGCAAGATATCCTTCAATAGGGAAAAATGTAAAGTACTGTATTTAGACAGGGAAGCTATAGGGCAGTGGTTCTCAACCTTTTTAATGCCGCGACCCCCAACCGGTCGTAAGTCGAGGACTAAACCGGTCATAAGTCGAGGACTAAACCGGTCGTAAGTCGAGGACTACCCAACTGATCGTAAGTCAAGGACTTTCCGTGCCCGGGAGCGCTGCGCATGCATGGTTCCGCCCCCTGCGCCGGCCGAGGCGTAGCTGGCAAGCGGCAGAGACGGAGCAGGCCGACCACCAGCTGGCCTAGCCCAAGGGAGGTAAGGCACCCGCCGGAAAAGGGGGAAAAAATGGCGGACAGCCTTGCTTGGCGACCCCCGTGAAATGGTCGATCGACCCCAAATGGGGTCGCGACCCATAGGTTGAGAACCGCTGCTATAGGGCATTATAAAGGAAGGGGCTTAGAAGCATTAGAAGGAGGGACTTGGATATGGTCACTGACAGAGCTGAAAATGAGACAACAAAGTGGAACTTATGTTAAAAGGACTAAGAGTTCTGGATAGCATTAGAAGAAAGTTTCTCAATGCTGCAATGCTTTAGGATTATGTGAAAGATTCTGGGCATCATTTCCCAAAAGACATTGACTAAAACAGATCGGGTGGAGGCAGAAGAGGTGAAAACAGGCCGATGGAACTTGGGATGATGAATCTAGAACATTGAAAGTAGAAATGGTATCAGTATTCAAGTACATTGGGATAATTATCAGGAACTGTTTTCTATTGCCACAGAAATGAGGTCAAGAAATAAATGTTAGAGTTCGTATTTATTTTTTTACTTGCCACTAGCGTTAAAATCTCTTGGCCAAATGGTTTTTGCCCATAAAGGGCATAATTAATTATAATGATTACTATGTGGGGATGTTAATGAGCAGAGGTAACTATCAGCCATCAATCAATAGCCTGAACCTTGTCCCATTTGACAGGAGAAAAAAGCACAAGACAGTCTAAAGTAGATGTACAGATAGTCCTTGAGTTACGAGTGTAATGGAGCCTGCCCATTCCACTCGTAACTCGAAAACTTGTAGAGTGAATCTTGTACCTCCAATGAGATCACTCCCTTACTTGTTAAAACATTACATGGCTCATTAAGTGAACATGAGGTATCTCAGGGTGGGTGTCATGCCTCTGTCGGAGCCTGACTCTGAGGATGACATGGAGTTCCCTGTTGAGGCCCAGGAGGGGGTGTCTGTGGCTTCGGAGGACGGTGGGGAGGAGCAGGATGAAGCAGGCCATGGCCCTTCAAGTTTGGAACAGGGAACGCAGAGCTCAGGTGAGGAGCAAGGCCCCTCCCCACCAGATCCCAGAGCAAGGAGAGCAGAGAGGAGGAGGGAACAACGGAGGCAGGCTCACTTGCTCGGGAGGAGAGCGTCACGCCCCACTCCACAAGGCACACCTGGGGAGTAGGTATTTAAGGAGATGCTGTGGGGTGGGGCATTTGCCGGGAACAAACGTGAACTCTTGTGATGTGAGCTCTTGTACCTGGACTCTTTGTATTTTGGATCAAGTTTGTTTCCTGCTGAGTTCTCCTTGATGTCCTCAGTTTTGCAGTTTGCAGGTTATAGGCAAGCTGGGCGTTGAAAAGATCATATTTTGTTTGTTATCTGTTTTACTTTAAAGAACTGTTTAACTTCGTTGACTGTTTTATTGAACTTGTGCCAGCATATGTGGGGGCTGTTGGGTGAATGTTGGCAGTGCTTACAAAGACAATTGTTCTGACCAGCTAATTGCTTTGCCTCCGTTCGGGGCCCTGGGTCATCACAGTGGGGAAGGCCATGGAGGTCCTAGTGATGGAACATGCCTCCAAGGCCTCCCCGACCCACTAAGACACCTCATGCTTCCCCCTCCCTTCCTGCTGTGTTGGTGTCACCTGGAAAAGATCCATCTCCTCTCTGCCGCGGTTCCTACTGCCACCCAGATCTGAGGCTGGGGAACGCTTCTGCACCCCTATGGCCCGATCCAGGCTCCGGAGGCCTTTTCCAGGTTGCTGCCGCCCAGATCTAAGGCCAGGGAATGCTGCCTGGATCTGAAACCGGGGAGTGCTTCCACGCTTCCTCGCAGCCCGATCCAGGCTTTGGAGGCATTTTCCAGGCTGCTGCCGCCTGGAAACCATCCACCAGAGGGCTATGTAAGCGTCCCCTGGCTTCAGATCCAGGGGGGGGGGCGCGGAAGCTTTCCTCGGCCTCAGATCTGGGCTGCAGCGGCCTGGAAAACGTCTCCGGAGCCTGGATCGGGCTGCAGGGGGACACACAAGCATCCCCTGGCCTCAGATCCGGGCTGCAGCAGCCTGGAAAAGGCCTCCGGAGCCCCAATCCAGCCTTCGGAAGCACGTGGAAGTGTCCCCCTGCTTCATTTCTATTCTCTGTTGCAGAGAACAGAGGCCTAAAGTACCACGAGATCACGCAAGATCAGTAGTGTGAGATCTTGCCCCATTGATCTTGCGTTACTTTAGGCCTCCATTCTCTGCAAACGCACCAAAGGCCTGGAGCAGCCAAGAAAGGGAAGGATCTCGATCTTCGCAGGGTGAGTATTGAAGGTCTGGTGCCTAGGGAGACCCGGGGCGGGGTGGGGAGGGAGGGAATAACCAGGGTGAATATTGCAGAGCCACTGCGGTTGCTCATAAGGGCGAATGACTGCCATGGTGCTGCAATATTTGTAATTTCAGGACTTGCTCGTTCAGAAGCACTAGTGAGTGCTCATCATGTAACTTTGAATAAGTGAACGCTTGTAACTTGGGGTTTACCTGTAATCAGTTGCTGTGAGAAACTCACTGGTCAATGAAAATCTTTTGATGGCCAAAAACGAACGAGGTCCCAAATTGCTATATCTAAATTTCACTTTAAAAAAGATATCCTGATTGTAAGATCCTTATAACCACAAATGGTCGATTCACAGAGGATTTTAAGAAGAACTAGCAACTACCTTTGGAACATGGTTTATTTGTTTATGGGGTTTTTTGCATATTATAGAGGGTTGAACTAGATGATCTTTGTGATCCCATCTACTTGCACATTTCTTTGATTCTGTGTTGATACCTTTTTTTATCTGTAATCTGTTTAGAGCTGATATCTAAACTCTGTTACTGAACTGTAATACAAAGCAGTTGGAAAGTCAATTATCCCTTTTTGCTTTTCCAGAAAGACAGGGAAACCTTTTCATAATTTCATAAGTTGGCAAGATGTGAGAGCTTCTAACCTTGTTAAATCCTGGAACAGATGTTTTTTAATGAAGGTAAGATACTTCTTTGCATTGAAAATAAGTTGGATGAAGGAGGGAAGGAACTTTGCAAATATGTATGCCCTTACTTTAGAGAAGGCTGGTATATTGCCAGTAGGTTGGGAGATATCTAATGATTTGCAGCTGAGAGAAGTAAGGTAGAGTTGCCCTATCTGTATTTTTATGAGAGAAATAATGTCGTGGGTGAGGATGTTTAAATTTTTCTTCCAATTCTCTTTTTCTAAATGGCTAATAGGTCCTCTTTTCCAAAGCTGCATTTTGTAAACTAGAAGATTAGGAAAGGGAAATAGCCATGAATTTCCCAGCATATTATATAGCTTGCTTTTTATGATTAGATTTAGAAAAACACAGATTTAGTAAGATACGATTAGTCACAATTGCCTGAATGTTGGTACAAAATAAGCCCTAGTTTTAGGGCGAGGAGCACATATAAAAATCAAGCTAGGGAGGGGGTGGAGCTGCCCTACGCATCCCGCGTGGGCTAGCTTAGGACCGCTGCAGCAAGGCCTCCCACGTCCTGACACCTGTTGCACTGCTTCCCAAGTTCAAGTGGCAGCACTGGCTCAATGCGCTGTGTGGCATCCTACCGTGAGCAGCGGCACCGGCATGATGCACCAGATGGCGCATTGTGCTAGTGATGCCACAAGTGGCAGAACACCATGTGGTGCATTGTGCCATGGCGTGTGCGAGCGGCAGCACCAGCACGATGCGTCGTGGAGCCTACTGCCGCAAGCAGCGGCACCGGCACAATGCATCTGCAAGTGGCAACACCAGCACAGTGCAACATGCAGCATCCTGTCATGAGCAGCGGCACCAGCATGAAGCGCCAGGTGGCATGCAGCCGCAGAAAAACTCGGGCAGCGGTGCAACAGCTGTTGGGGCATGGGAGGCCTGGCTGCAACGGTCCTAAGGTAAGCAGGTAAGACTTCCCCTGAAAATAAGAGCTGGTGCCTCTTTTGGAGGCAAAAAAAAATATAAGACCAGGTCTTATTTTCGGGAAAACACGGTATTTATGACCGTTGCAGTGTCCTGGGTCATGGGATCACCTGTTGGAACCTCCTGACAAGGAAAGTCAATGGGAAAACCAGATTTACTTAACAACTGTGTTACTAATTTAACAAATGTTGCAAGAAAGGTCATAAAGTGGGACAAATCTCATTTAACAACTGTATTGCTTAGCAATTGAAACTTTGGTCTCAATTGTGGTCATAAGTCGAGGATTACCTGTATTAGTGAGGAGGCGCAGATGAATTTTGACTTCTGCAGTGAAAAGGTTCTGGGACTGTTTCTTATAGACTCAGATTGGTTTTGTGTGTGCTGGAGAATGGAAAAATTGTTTTAATATTGAAATAAACTTATTTTTTTATTTAAAAGTGGCATTTGTTAAAAATTACCCGCATGTGGAAAACCAGCACATCTGGCAAATACTTGGGATATAACCTTTCTCTGCTCTGCTGATTTCTGTATGTGGGAAGTTTATAATATGAGCAGTGTTCAAAATGGCTTTGCTTCTTAGCAGTTAGAAGTGAAATAGATTCTTACCTTTCTGTGTTCTCTCTTGACCCCCTGCATACAAAGATTGGTAACAGTCAGACTGATCTAGTACTACTCACCAGAAAAATGTCTGTCCAACTTGCTTCTTGCTGAACATCTATCTGAATAACAAAACTTATTTTGGACTGGTATGGCAGAAAATGTTATGTGCAGGTCCAGATAACAACTTCACCAAACAGTTGAATAGTTCTGTATTCTTAGATACAGGCTGTGTTCATAGGACATAATAAGTCTTATTCGCTTATCCATGATTTATTGAAAAAAAGAAACACAAATGGCTGGGTTCAGACAAATTATGGTTTACAAATCACATTGTCTGAACTCATATAAAACGAGCAATAAGCAACAAACTAAGACATAAATCATTTTTGGCTTTATATCTGAACACAGTGTACTAAGCTGTAGGCATATGTTAGTAAGAATATTAGGAATGTACAAAATATGTAGCTGATTTTAAGCAATCAGCATCCAAATCAAAACGCACATGCTTTGTTGAGATCCAAATGTAAAAGAAAATAGAGTTGTTCCAGTTATATAAAGAATGCACAGAAAAAAATATCTGAAGACTGAGAAGTTCCCTTGGACAAGGCATTGGAAGCAGGGAAGACTCTGGAAAGGGTGGGATGGGCATGCTGGTGGGACATGCAAATAAATCCTGCTTCTTACTGCTAAGCTAAGACAACTGATGTAAGAGGCAGATATGGGTCCACTATACATCAGTGGCAGCTGAGGGAAGGCTGCAAGAAAAGGTCCCGAAGATTGGGAGCAGGTAGGTCAGTTAGAGATAGTGTTTTGAACTGCTGAGATCACTGTAGTAGGGAGCCAGGTACATGGGCTGATACATTTTTTTATAAAATAAGGGAATGAAAAATACTGGGAAGATGGGAAATTGGATAGGTCAGTGCAAAGGCCAGATAAGGGATCCTCTGGATTTTGTTTTTGCTGAAATGCAGAACAACCAAAAATCCATGTTTAGTTTCTGTTAAACAGCAGCCAATTTTGCAAACATTCCAGAATGCACTGTTTATTCTGAGTTACATTCAAAATATATATTTCATTTTCTATATAGTCCTACATAAATATAACTTGACTTGAATCTAGTTGGACAGAAGCTCAAATGTTTATCCTACGAACCTTGTTTTTGAACAGGCAGTCCGTGGTATTTCTTCTTTGCTGCACTTTTTCACTCGGATTAATAGACTTCTGGTACTCCGTTCTTTTAGTTTTACGACACAGCATATCTCTTTAAGACTGGCTTGGGTTTTACAGCATTTATCTGAGGTAAGCCTCATGTTAAAATTCTTTGTAAGGGATTTCCTGTTGATTCAGAGGTTACTGGCAATAGTATCTAAGTGTTCATTTATTTGTTTTATCAAATTGCCAATTGAAGATGAACTTGATAAATATTCTAGTCTTTTCCAGTGTACTGTTCTCAACATATGTTCCTAGACTGACTAGAATATTGGGGTTTAGAGGCCAATATACCTGGTTAGCATGCAATTGGAGAAGATCCATGATCCAAAATGCTCCAAACTGGCAATTTGTACTAATTTATTTTCTAAGTTCTGCATAGTTATTATTGAGAGTGGTTAAGACATCAGGCTAGAAACTGGGAATTCTAGGGCCACCTTAGGCACAAATCCAGCTGGGTAACCTTGAGTTAGTCACACTCTCTCAGCCCTAAGAAGGAGGCATGGGTGAACCACTTCTGAAAATCATGCTAAGAAAACTCCAGGGACCTGTTCAGACAGTTGCCAGGAGTCAAAAAGTGACTTGAAAGCACAAAAACAAACAAACAAACAAACAACCACACATCATAGTTAATATTATCTGATGGTCATTTTATATGGGACTATAAAAATAGTTTCTTATGTAATAGTACAATTTTTAACATGGACCAATACAAGAAACCTCAAATATTTTATGAGAAATAACAACAGCAACAGCAGTATGTTGTAGGCATTGAGATAAAATAGCTTTTACAGAAAGTGGCCAGTGATCAAATATTCATTTTGTAAAAGACTAAGCACAGTTCCCTTCCTCTCATAATTATTATCCAACCGCATGCTATATGAACATACACATCCGTTGTCATAGCCAATTTACAATTTACAGTGGTAATCTCTTCTCATGTAGTTATAGTCAGTAGCTAGCAAAGATCCAGGCTGTTTGCTTTTTCTCCCTCCTCCTCCTCCAGTGTGTTTTTGAAAGATATCTAAAAATATTAGCATTGGGATCAGCCATGATGCATGGAGTTGTACATTTCATAAAATCATCAGATTCATCTTCTGAACATTTATCTAGCAGCAATTTCCACACTATGGCATAAAGAAAAGGGTTTCCTTCAAACATCATAAGAGTCTAAAAGACTGATGTAATTAAGTCAACCTTCTGGATTGTTTAGGGTTTTGTACACTACTAACGACCCCCTTAAATTTGACTGAGTAGCAGACTAGCTATCTAAAACTATTGTAAGGACACTGATATGGATTACATTTGACTTCCTGCAAAAAAAATGTGACCTGTGTGTTTATTTGCAGGTAGAACAAGCTGTTAAAGATGGTAATTGCTGTTTTGGAACAGTTGACACATGGTTACTTTATAAACTCACAAAAGGTAAGTACAGTGATTAAATGGCGGATAAGATAATATACCCACATCTCACCCCTAAAATTCTGCAAGTGAACCTTATTCTGACATTCTTCACCACAGCAGCACTTGTAAAATACAGTAAATCTATTGTCTGCAAATAAAGACATTTGCCGTGAAAGGGCAACAAGTTTTGTCCAAATCTAATTCAGGATCAAGAACAGAAAATACCAAAGTTTCAAAGGTGCAGGCATAAAGCATAGTCAAGAGGCAGAGCAAAGTTCAGGAATCTGGATGAACAAGCTGAAATAAGGTGTATAATATAAAAAGGGAATTGCAAAATACATTATTTCTAGAATTTTTATCTCAAGGTTGCAGAGAATTCCACTGGAACTCCATATTTGCTAATTCTAGTCTTTGTCCTAATAGTAATCCATTTAGAGAATATTCATGCTTCTTGGAAACTGAGCTTTAAAATCTTGCCCTTTTTCTCCATTTTATACCTTGCATCACAGTTTGAAGGCACTGCCATTCTCATAGATTTGAGGTATTTTTAGGGTTAAGAATCAAGAGTTGACAGTTGTATGCTCAGATCGTATCTTTCAGACAATAGATGTCTCATAGAATTTGTGCTATCTGATGCTCAGTCCTCCTCTGACAAGGACATATACAAAGAGATCCTAATAGCTACTTATGGAATCTTTTGCCCTGCAGGTCTTTACACTTGGAGGCATCTTCAACATGCACAGTTTTACAGGCTCTATAGTGCGTGTGAGATTGGTTACTTTTACAATTGTGCTCTGTATAGAAGATCAAGTGCACCAATAAAAGGAGTGGTGATAATAGTGTAAATAGGACAACATTAATTGAAATGAACTGCCCAGTTCTATATTACAAGAAAATTAAAATAATTCCTTCCTCTTGGAAGGAAGCAATCATGGTTTTATAATTAAGAATTATTTGACTGATACATTGTTCAGTAAATCAACCACCAAATTTTAACTTCCATGTTGAACTATAATTGCTTTTTGTTTTATTTTTCAATATCTAATTGTATATTCTAGGTGCAGTGTATGCTACAGATTATTCAAATGCCAGCTCCACTGGATTTTTTGATCCTTTTAAGGTAGGACTAGTTCCATCTGCCATGTTGTTGTGGTGTGTCTTTACATTGTTTTAATTCTTTTTTTTAATATGCATGTGATTTCAGCTGCAATGGAGTGACCTTTTTAGCAAGTTACTTTCCATTCCAATATCGCTTTTCCCCCCAATAGAGGATACTAGGTAAGTTTTAGTTAACATATATTTTTGCTTTTTCCAAAGGAAGGCATAAATGTCAAAGTAATTATCTATATATGAGCCGTGGTGACACAGTGGTTAGAATGCAGTATTGCAGGCTACTTTTGCTGACTGCCAACAGTTCGGCAGTTCGATTCTCATAGGCTCAAGGTTGACTCAGCCTTCCATCCTTCCGAAGTCAGTAAAATGAGGACCCAGATTGTTGGGGGCAATATGTTGATTCTGTAAACCACTTAGAGAGGGCTATACAGTACTGTGAAATAGTATATAAGTGTCACTGCTATTGCTACTGTTAAAGCTCTCATGTCTGTAACTTTTAACTGGGCAAAATAGTATGTCATAGGGCAAAACCTTTTTCAACCAAGGTACCTCAAATAGAATACTGGGATGCAGGACTCCTGAGTGAATGAAATTTGGGGAAATTTTGCCTGCTTCAGTGTCACCACGGCATTGCTATGATCAATCCAGTCACATGATCCTCGATTTCAAAGTTCCCTGACAGCTTCCCACAATTCTACTGTAGCACTTGCACCATACTCCCTCACTCTCTCTCTCTCTCTCTCTCTCTCTTTCCTCTGCAGCAGCCATTTATTTACCTGCTGGGAAGGGAAGGAGGGAGGGAGGGAAGGAAAGAAGATTTCTGATGCTTACTGCCATCTTTCCACGAGGAAACTCAATGGGGAAGCCAAAAGGAAGTTGTATATTGCTTCCACTCCACTGATTTTTTTGCCCATGCATGGTCTTTCTGTTTCTTTGTTTAGATAAAGAAATATTTCTGAAATGATAACCCCAATGGATCATGGGTTGTCTACTTGAAATATAAATATGAAATAGTTGAAATATAAATATGAAATGGTATCAAAGTTCTGTTTAGAATAGAAATGACAATTTTTCTCTAGTTAGTTCATTTATTGCAAATGTATTGAATAAGCTGGAAGCACTAACTTTATTTATCTTTATTTGAAGTCACATTTTTGGATCAGTTGATGCTGAACTATTTGGAGTGCCTATTGCAATAGCAGCTTTGGTAAGTATAAAAGTTTTTTTCTCTTTGACTTGGATATATTTAAATTTAGTTGGTATTTAGTAAAACATACTAATCCTTAAATTTCTAGAGCAAAGATTCAAAATAAAAGCTAAATCTGAGCTTAATCTACTATTGAAGATTCAAATTAACTTATTTAAATCCTTTTACATTGAATTAATTCATTTCTTAAATTTCAAGAGAAGCTGAATGGAAGAAAGAGAGAGGAAGAATCAGTATGCACAAATGGATTTGTACAATAGCTGCATTTTCATTTGTAAATCTCCTTTTATTGTGAAGACCATGCTATTTAATCCTTCTTAAAAACTAAGCATTCTGGTTTTGAAATCTTCTATTTCAATGAATTAACTATTAATGTGAACTTTTTAAAGAACTTAGAATTGCACAATGTTATGTTCTAAATATTTATACCTGTTGAATGCTTTGAGAGCCAAGTTTAAGATTCAGCATTTATCTAGAATTCTTTCAAAACTAATAAAATACTCATATTTTTAACTTGGACTTAGAAACCTAAATATGATTTACATAATATCATTTGAGAAGGATTTATCTAGGGCCATAACTCATAACCTGTATTTGGTAATAATTATATTCAATACATCTGGCATACCTTTTTATGGTCTCCGACTGGAACCTATCCAGAACTTAATCCTGACATTACATCATAATATACAGGTAGTGCTAAACTTACGAACCTCCAAAAAACTATTTAGGACTCCATTTCAAAGTACTGACATCTGAGGAATACAGACACACTGCAGTCATGTGACTACATTTTGGGCATTTGTCAACCAGCCTACATTTAGGACCATTTTGCCCTGTGGTCAAATGACTGTGATTTACAATGTTTTTTCCAGAAACCATTATTTACTTCAGATTTCGGTTAAAAACTGCTCTACTGAACAATGAGTCTGCTTAACAACCATGGTATTTGCTTTACAACTGCCATGTTTACTTAACGAATGCAGTAAAAATGATTGCAACATCAGGTATGGTCACCTGGTGATCTGCTTTAGAATCAGCATGACTTACAACTAAAATTGTGCAGTCAATTACAAGGACTACCTGTAAACATTTCTCAAATTATTTTTGACTTGTTTATCATCTCTATGTCAAGTTTAATATGTCAGAGAGATGGGTAAGAGAACCAACTGAAACCTTTTATAAACGAATATAAGCTATGTAATGCTACTGATCATGATTTTGTCAACTATTTGTTCCTTTTGTGTTTGTATCTACAATATAACATATAGATGAACAAGTGCTGCTTTCCTTTCAATGCTTAAGATGTGCTCAAAGAGAGAAATAGCATTGCTATTGATATACTACTTAATCCCTAAATTATTTGACTATAGTAATCAAATCTAACTGTCATTATGTTTTTGTAAATATATTCAGTACCACACATAATACCTTATTTTACAAAATGTATAATAATATCTATTCTTGTTAGAATTACAGCTCAAATAATAAAGTGCCTCTTTGTTCACTGAATCTGATAAACTTTGTCCCATAATATAATGGATTGGAAGAAGCTATAGGCAGTGTTGTCTGTATCCTGTCCTGTCTCAATGGCCTTACCTATCTGAGCAGCCAGATGGATTTAATTATTCTTTCAATTGCCCCACAGTGCGCCAGAGGCAATGTTAGGATAAAGACTTGGTGAGAAGCTAAAACATAGCTGGATGTAGTTTACTAGGGATGTATGGAAAGTTGACAATGAAGTATAAATGAAGTATAAGCATAGAACACAGAGCCAGCATCTGTAAGACGTTCTGCCAGTTTCAACACTTTGATGACTGTACAGCAGGGGTGTCAAACTGCCAGACCGCGGGCCAGATACATCATCCGGAAGCCGTGCCCACCCCATTGCCGGCAATGGCAAAACCATCCCGATACGTTGCGCAATGTCACATGACATCGCGAGTTTGACATGTCTGCTGTAGAGTGTGGAATCAAAATGCAGGACCCAAAGCAAATAATCAAGACGTGCTGAAGTATTTATTGTTTTAACAGTGTACACTGGAGGAACTTCCTCCAAAGAATATTGAGAGAGACTCCTACAGACAAAAGGATACTCTCATACATTTCAGAAAGAAGGAGAAACAGGAATACATAAGCATAAGTAATAGGTGATGTAAACATACATGTACATAATTAACAATTCTCAGGTTATTTCCTGCCCTTCTATTGTTACTAACTTCAAAAAAGAATAATTGTTTTACAAAAACAAACATGTCATTAGATTGCCATAGAAATTTTTGATAAAGCTTGCTGTTAGCCAGTCATCCAAGGCCATCTTTCTCCATGTGTCTATTTGATTAACAGACATTCCTTCTATGTTACTTTTTATGTTTCTCTCCTGCTGTCACACTCCTATTTCTGTAAGAATTTATTTTCCTTACAACAGTGGCACCAAATTCTGATGTTACCTTAAATAAAACTTTTTAAAACAAACATATACAGACAGAGAGATAGACAGAACATCTATTAACATTATTTTATCTGACTAATAAAATGGAAAATTACATGTCTTCATTCTATTGCTTTTCATTTTTTTTAAACTTGGCACATTAGCTTTTCAACACAGTAAAGTTATGATGCACTTCTAAATGTTTAAATATTAATTTCTAAAGTAGCTGTTGATACCTCGCTGTCTGATTTTTATTTGTAGGCAGCAGACCAGCAGGCAGCCATGTTCGGACAGGGCTGTTTTGATACAGGTGACATAAAAATCACCATGGGGACTGGTACTTTTTGGGATATTAATACTGGAAACAACATTCATGTATCTAAGAAAGGTAGGTTTATATGATTCTGGTTGGCAGGAACAATTGTGGACACAACACAGTTTTTACAATGAAATAAAAATAATTATTGTATAAATACAATGTTTTATAAATTGAATCTTAATTTAAATTTAATTTTAAATGTATTTAATTTTATAAAATTTTATTTTATTAGAATTAAAATGATTAATATAATTAAGTATACTAATTATCAAGTAGTAATCAGGAAATCTATTTTAGTCATAGCACATGGATAACTAAAGTTTTAGAACTGAAAAGCTCCATTCCCAACTACATATTTTATCAGGTTTTTCATTATTTATGCTAGTAAAAATAAATCTCAAAATATAATTCTAATAATTCCTAGAAGTACTTTTTTGTTCCAACTGATATAGGTTAAGTGTACTTATAGCTTACACTTGGTCATAAGAAAGAAAAAAGCAACACCAAAGTAAGAAAGACTTCCTTATGGAAAAGACTGAATATAGAAGATTCAATTCAACCTAGAGTATAAAGACTATAAAAATTTTATAAAAATATAATTTGAATAAGCTTCTCAAAATATTTCTATGTTTAGGAGACCCCATGTAAATATGTCTCCACATTCATTCAAATAATGGAAGAACATATAAATATGAAAAGAATTTAGATTCTAATGCAGCTTATTGCTGTGCTGTATAATAAATCACAAATTATCTTATTAATATAAACTACAGATAATTCTCGATTTATGAATGCTATCAACTGGATTGTTGTTTCACTACACATCCAATTTGTTTTTCTTTAGGAAATAAGGAAGTCAGCCTTTCTCACAAATATGCCTTAATGCATTAGCGATTGGTCGAAGTTACAACTTACCCAAAAAAGGAGACTTAGTATGTGGATTCAAAGTTTTAGCAGTTGAGCCCCTGTGTAATTGTGTAATTCATAATAAACTTATTAGAGGAAATATGAAATAAAAGTTAAGTATATCCACTGCTGCTTTTTTTTTTTTTTTTTTTTGCAAAAGGACTGCCGCAAGTTTCTACTAGTGTGGAAGAAGGGAAGGACTCTTTATTTATTCTTTCATCTCTTATAGAGAGTCTTAATCCTCTGGTTATATTTTCACAAGTTGTAGGGGAATTTGGTGAACATTATTAACATGTCTTCTATTGGTGAAGGTTTGCATTGAATCAAAAGTTTTTCTGTGAATGTAATGGGCCTATTGTGGCCTATCTTTGAAAAAATATGTTTTGTTATTTCAAGGCTTATATCCATTGGTTGGTTGGAAAATTGGGAACGAGATAACCTACTTAGCTGAAGGCAATGCTTCTGATACTGGAAATGCTATCAAATGGATTCAGAGTTTAGGTGAGTGTAATTATTGAAGTTGAATTATTTAAGCCTATGAATGATAAAGTAAAAAGTAAAGTAAAAAAATATTATCAGCATGTTACTGGTTCTTATGTGGATAGATGAGGAAATTGTCTCTTTTCCTTTCAATAATTCTGAAGATGTAAATTATAGCAGTTGTTTTTTATTTTATTTATGATCCAATGCCAAATGAAACACCAGGTAAAGCAAATATGAATGCATTTAAAAGCTTGCATTTTATACTTTAAAACTGCATACTTTGAAAAGTAATGTTATACAATTAATAATATTGCCTGTACCCTGGCAGAAATATATTTTTAGATTTAGAAACCCTCTGACCCCCCAAAATATGTTTTTACTTTATCACCATGCAATAAAAGTTTTGCAAGATTTTACCACAGCATTTGCATCTGTATTGCATTTCAAGTGGCAGATTGCATGCTAAGGAATAATGTCTTCCACAGTATCAAATAATAACATTCTGTATTGTAATCTGCATTGAAAGAAATTCATATCTAGCTATATGCTACTTACATTTAAGTGCAATACTAACTTGTTAAACTAAACATTAATTCTTCCATTTCCTCTGGCACAGACATAAAAAGTACACTTTTCTGCTACTCTTATTTCCGTTTGACCATTTAGCTACTCCCACTGAATATGCAAACACTGCCAATAATGAGAAGATGGAATAGCATTTAACATTTTCCTTTCTCAGGACAGTAAGGAATGACTTTTTAGAGAAACTGAAAGGGCCATTTAGATCACTTTGCCATAAAGAGGTGCACAACACCTGAAATGCTAGAATATTTTCCCATACAGGTAGTCTTCAACTTACAACTGAGCCCAACATTTCCATTGCTAAGCAAGGCAGCTGTTAAATGAATTTTGCCCCATTTTTCAACCTTTTCTGCCACAGTTGTTAAGCAAATCACTACAACTGAAGTGAATCATGCGGTCATTAAGCAAATCTAGCTTTCCCCATTGACTTTGCTTGTTGGAAGCTGGCTGAGAAGGTTACAAACGGTGATCACATGACTCCAGGACAATGCAACTGTCATAAATACATGCCAGTTGCAAAGTGCCCGAAGTTTGATCTCGTGACCATGAGGATCCTGCAACGCTCATAAATGGCCATACATCACTTTTTTCAATGCCGTCGTAACTTTGAATGGTTACTAAATGAATGGCTGTAAGTTGAGGATTACCTGAAAAGATAACTGAGGTAATCATCATAACTAAAGGAGCAGAAAGGACATATATTTTCTTGGAGTTCATTGATAATTATGTATAGAAGTTTCAGAGTTGTTGATACATATTAATTCATATCTTGTCTGCACAGAACTTTTTGACAATGTTGAAGAGACATCACAAATGGCACATAGCCTAATAAGTTCAGGAGGAGTTTGTTTTGTTCCATCTTTTAGTGGTTTGCAGGTAAAAATACTGCCTTTGATTTATTTACTTAAGTGACTGTTTTTCTTTTAAGTAAGATTTTCTAAATTACAGATAGTCCTTGATCTACAACCATTCACTAGTGATTGTTCAAAGTTATGATGGCACTGAAAAAAGTGACTTATGACCGGTTTTGACACTTACAACCATTGCAGTATCTGATCAAAACTTGGGCGCTTGGTAACTGGCATGTATTTATGACAGTGATCATAAATTTATGATATCTAATCACCATTTGTAAACTTCCCAGCCAGCTTCCAACAAGCAAAGTCAGCTTAATGATCGCATGATTCATTTAAAAATTGCTTAACAACTGTAGCAAAAAAGTTAGTAAAATGAGGCTCAACTCACTTAACATCTGCCTTGATTAGCAATGGAAATTTTGGGCTCAGTTGTGATCATACATCAAGGACTACCTGGATATATTTGATTCAACTTTCATTATGTTCTACCATAAATATATATCTTATAGACTGCTTACTGCTGTTTCAATTTTCTTCTTCTTACTATGCTGCCTCTTATTGTCACATGTAAGCTTTTCTTTCCCTAATATTTCAGTCCTTTCTTGAACAATTGTCTATAGAACATATTCCTACATATTTTATTTTAATATCTATTTTATTTCAGATACCTGTGAATGATCCTTATGCATGTACTTCTTTTATGGGGATCACACCTTGTACTACTAAAAACCATCTTGTTCGAGCTGTGTTGGAATCCATAGCTTTCAGGTACTTGGACATACCCTGTCAACATGGTTGGGCCTCTTCTCAGTATGCCCTTGTACTAGTTGTGTACACATGGGCATCCACACTAGCTACATACCAGCAGTCAATACAACCAATCACATTTAGTTTCTATTTTGTTCAGAATTCATCGTTTTTCCAAAAATTACAAAGATAAATGTACAATGTATCAATTTCCATTGCAGTAGCTCTGTACTTTTGGATTTCTTCTTGGAATAAACTTGTTCACAGTCAAGGGAAGGCAACCAACTCCCTTAAAATACAAGCATGTCCATATAAAAATATGAATCACTATCATTATATTCCAGGACACACAAACTGTATAAGCTCAAACCCTTGTTCATTCTAGTGACTTTTTGACATTTGCTTTGTATGCACATTTCTTTCCAGTACCCTGTATTTTCTCCCCATGTTCAAACCCACTTCTCCATTTGTATTTTGTTTTTGGCTCTCTATAAGATTAAGACAATAGATTACATAAATGGAATTTGTTTTGCTTTGTTCCTTGCTGATTAAATTTTAAATTCAATTTGAGCAACTAAAATTTAAATTATAAATTGGCTTTACATTATTTATATTACTTTTTGTTGGCAAATAACAAAATATATGATCACTGCTACAAGTTAGCAGATGCAAAAATGCTTCAATATTTTGATTACTGAGAAAGCTACATTATGTTAAATATATTGATCTTAATTATCACCTCTGCCATTGTCATATAAAGCATAAGACGGAAAACAGAATTCATATATTCTAATTTGGGAACAGTGGTTATCTGATATAATGACTATGGATAGACTAAGAATATATTGCTATTAGGTTTAGACTTTTATACTAATAACACTTTCAATAATAGGATAATTGGAATTCTCATTATATTTTCTGTCTTTAAAATTATACAAAACTATTTAGTTTATTAACTTGTTGACTAATACTTTTCCTGCTGACTTTTTATTTTCTGGGATTTTGTTGAACACCTGATGCATACTGCTTTAATCTTATGAAAAAAGTAACCTAAAATGTTTTAAAAGAAAAAAAAACTATAGCTCAAAAATCTAGAGCTTTTGGTTTATTAAGCAGTCTAATTTATTTTACTATAGCTGATTTTAACTCCCTTTTAAAGATGTATTTAAATATCTAGTTAATTTTGATTGTTGTTCCTTATGACATCTTATGCTTCTAATATAATTGTTACTTACTATATTGAATTTCTCCCTCCCCGTCTCTTTTTTCAAGAAACAAACAGCTGTACGATATCATTACAACAGATTTGGGCATTCCGTCTGTGTCCATTCGGTATGTTTATATTGCATCCAAAATATTCAATGTGAATATGAATAAATATGAATTTATATATTAAATAAGTTTCGTGCATGAACTTTAGGGCCCAATGGTTAAGTCACAACCAGTATAATTCTGTTTTAGAGCTATCTCTTGCTGTAAGCTCCTGATCAAAAGATTTGTAGCAGCCGGTAGAATTGTTAACAAAACTCTTGTTAGTCTCTTAGTGGTATTTATGTACAGTAATATTTGTCAAACTGCTATTTTACAATTTATTCTTTGGAAATCTAGGATATTAGTTTGGTAATCTTCTTGTAGGTCAGTGTTTCTCAACCTTGACAATTTTAAGGCATGTGGACTTCAACTCCCAGAATTCCACAGCCAGCATTGCTGGTTGTGGAATTCTGGGAGTTGAAGTCCATATGCCTTAAAATTGTCAAGGTTGAGAAACACTGTTGTAGGTACAAAGTATGAAATGGAAAGTAGTTAATGTTACCTTTAAGAATGATACATTTTATCAGAACGAAGTACATATTGGAGTATTACACTCATGGCTTGAAGGAAGCATTTCTACATATTACATCATACATTACATTTGCTTCCATTTCCCTTAGCTGTTCCTTTTTCAACTAGATTGAGCTAGACATTCTTCAAAGCATTGCCACATTACATATTGCAGCATTGTACGTTTGCAGTATTCTAAGATTGTGGGTACGAGAATGCTGTACCTGTTGACAGAGAGATACCTTTTGATATGCTGATAAATCCAACCAATAGCAATGCTGACTTTATTATCACTGTCAAGCTGGAAATAGGATCCTTCAGAAAGAATATTATCCTGACAAAACCACGTTGAATATTTCTACACTGGTCAGTTGAACTACCTACTATTCAGCAAATGTGTGAATTTTATCATAACTGGATCTTATCCAGTTGTTAAAGATTCCAAATCAGATTCTCCTCAGGTACATTTGATGAAAATAAAATATAAAACTAAACATTTTCCAAGCATGAAAAATCTCTTGATAATTACACTCACTTTTATTTAGAATTTAGAAAACCTAAGAAGCAACTCCACTAGCTACATACAGTAGTAGAATACCCATTTTGCATACCATTCTGATATTGCAGATGACAACACTGCAGTGTTTATGTTTTGTCTTTTGGGCATACAATTTAAATCATATATTTTTTATAGATTTTGAATTCTATTTTTTTCTCCCACCTCAATAGAGCTGATGGAGGCGTCAGTAAAAATAGTTTTGTGATGCAGATGACTTCTGATTTAATCAATAAATCAATAAACAAGCCTGACAGTACAGACATGTCTTGTCTTGGAGCAGCTTTTCTAGCAGGCCTTGCTATGGGTACGCTTTACTCTGAGTATTTGGGGGAATCCGTTTCAAGAGAAATGGTCATTTATTTTACGTTGTACAAAATTGGCAAATAATAATGATATTTTTCAAGAGTATGCCATATAGTTTTTGTTATGGTCCATCAAGTCAACCCTTGGAGATGGGGCAGGGGTGGTGGTGGTCGTGCTGCAGCCTCCCTGCAGGCCACGGGAGAGCACTGCAGTGACCATAATTTCAGAACTGGGTCATAAGTAGCGTTGGAGGGCGTCAGCAAAAACTTTGAACGGTTGCTAAGTGACTGGTTGTAAGTCAGGGACTACCTCTATAAATTCACAAATTGTTTTAGTTACACAGTCGGATATCTCTGAAGCAGCCAAGGAAACCTTTGTTTTTCAAAAATTATTTTGCAATCATTTGAACAAGGTAGAACAGAAACTACAGTACTACGTCTCTCTTAATGTTGACTATATTATCCATTTGTTGGTTGGTTTGTTTAAAAATACTTATGTAGCTGCCTGTATTGTAGCAGCAACACTGGGGAGTGCACAAAACATTAAATCAACAGAAACTTCCAAACCATAAAATAAAAATCAATTACAATTCTATTAAAAATATGGCACTTTATGCCAACACTTTCCTATACATCCCTGCACCATCTTCTGCTCCAACCTCATCCTGCCTCAACACTTGTGGGAAGAGTTAGCTCTCCAAACTTCTGGAAGATGAGGAGGGCTGGGGGCCTAGTGGATTCCTGGGAGAAGGGTGATCCACAGGGCAGGGGCACCTACCCACAGAATAGATAATTCTGCAGAAAAAACCTATAGATTATTATTTAATAGATTTATTCTGCAAGTTTGTTCTGCAATATGAAAAATATTCCAAATATTTAAACATTGTGTTGTTTATATTCTTCAAACTAGATTTATATATACCTCTACACACGTTTTAATACAGAAATTATGGTCAACACAAGAACGACTATTTTGTATCTTTTTGTTTCTTTTTTAGGATTTTGGACTGACAAAGAACATCTGAAGAAGTTGAGGCAAACTGACATGGTTTTTAAGCCACAAAGGGAGCCAGAGGAGTATGAACCTGCTATGAGTAATTGGATAAAAGCTGTCTGCCGTTCTCTTTCTTGGTATAGCCAGGCATCTCATTAATTAATATTGTTTATATGTTGGACAATATAACTAGCAACTTTATTTCTGCTTTAGACTTAATTGTACTAAGAAGTTATTGTTCTCGGACAATATTCAAGCAATACAAAAAGTCTCCTGGAATAGTAGTGAGCCCCAGGTAGTAGTCAAGAGACTCAGTGTCAGAGTGTATTGTTCTAAGCGACAATTATTTATAATGGACAAACTTGATTTTATACATGAGATCAGTTTGCAGGAATGTTCAGATACCACCTTAGGAGATTTCATATGGAAAATCTAAATCAAAATTGTATCACAAAAGTTATTTCCGCCTAGATAGGAACATACCACATACTTCTGTTTTCTAATGTAAACCATCTCCTTTTGGTAGAAATACATTTATTGGCATGATGTCCTCTCACTCCATGCCCAAATGAAAGAGATACAGATGCATCCATGTAGGTAAATTGGTTCTAAGATTGGAGACTGTCTAAAGTGAAAAGTAGTAAAAGCTTTTTGTTAAAGATTTCTTTGTGGTGAAAACCAGTAAGCTAAAAGTAAAACATGATCTAGAAAGCAACTATTTACAAATGAGGCTTCAGACAATAGAATACACAGACTAGTAAATTAGCATGTGAATTGACTCACCTTTGCAATGATGGCCTCTTTTGTTATTGTTTTAAAAATGCATTTTGGTGAAATCTGAAGTTTCCAAATTGCTTAATTGGAAATTGGTCAGCTGTTTTCTATCTATATGAAAAAATTCTGATTTGCAGATATGGACAGCATAGTCGGTATTGTCCAATACCTCTGGAAGTCCTCATATTCTGACATAAGAGATAGGGAAAATCTAGGTATAATTACCTTGTTACTTAAGAAATAAGCAAGAATTTTTAGAATCTTAACTTTAAATTTAAACAGATGAAAGAAGCATCTCTCTTTCATGTGTTTTTCAAGTACTACGTTTGATGTTTGAGAGCAAAAATAGATGGGTTTTTTTTACTCATTAGATAAGTCCAAAGTGGATCTCATTGTTACTTTTCCTTCCCTATGCACTTCACTACCTGATACCTCAGAACTTGAAAACTTTATAGCAGTCACCATCTCTATGCAGTATGTAAAATATTGAAAGTAGAATATTTGGGAAATAGTGCATACCAGCTTAATGTTTTCTGTGGTAATTTCCAGATTATTATAGTTAGGGTCATACATTGTTATGAGCCAAAATAATACATATTTGATATTAATTTTGCATTAGTGCCTTGGTATACATGTGAAAAAGACCACTATTACTTCTTCAGCCAATCTAAATTTAGAAAGTCCTAGCTGAAAACAATGTTGTATACCCAGTGGTGGGATTCAGCTGGTTCGCACCACTTCGGCAGAACCGGTAGCTAATTTTTTGTTGCCCATTCTCAGAATGGACTTCCAGAAGTGGCATCCATACAGAGAACAGGTTGTTCACATATTTGAATCCCACCGCTGTGTATACCTACCTTAATTTTTTTATCAGATTTTAAGAAACGTGCATTAATTTGGTCACATTAGCTTTATATTTGCATGGAACCCAGTTACATTTCTGCAAAGTAATTGTAATTTTTATTTTTCAGAAATTATGTAGCACCTAAAGTTTGTCACTATAAATTCAATTGTCATTGCAATTAGAATATTATTGATACCTAAATACTATATGAAGTAATTTTCAGTGCATCATAAAAATCTGTTGGCTGAGATTAAGCCTAGTGCTATGTTGTATATTTACCTAAGAAGCCATCTTACACTAATTCAGATCTATAATCAATTCAACTCAGTACTCAATTGTAGAAATTCAGGAGATTCCTAGTTTTAGGAAAAACTAGAAAATATCGAGAGTCTTCGACTTACAAAAATAATTGGGACCAGAATTTCAGTTGCAAAGTGATATGGTCATTTAGCGAGTCTTCACATAACCGGACCCAATTTTATTAATATTTTTACTGTGGTTGTTAAGCTAATCATGTCATTAAGCAAATCATGCAGTCATTAAGTGAATCCAGCTTCCCAGTTCACTTTGTTGTCAGAAGTTGGCCAGGAAGGTCATAAATGTGACCACAAAATGCTGCAACCATCATAAATGAGAGCCAGTTGCCAAGTGCCCGAATTGCAGTCATATGAACACAAGATGGCACAAGCAGTTGTAATTTCAAGGGTGGGTTTTAAATCACTTTTCTCCCAAGGCGGTCACAACATCAAACCATCATTAAACAAAAGGTTATAAAACAAGGATTACCTGTAAATTTGTAAACTTTATCTTGGCATTTGAAAAATATTTTGTAGTGAAGTGAAATTAATTTTATCTCTCAGAGATTTCTGAGCCATATATACTGGTTATGCAGTGACATATCTTTGGTCTGAGAGATATATGTAACCTTTGCAGCAAGGCAGTCCTTCATCTACAGCCTATTCTGTGAGGGCTCAATATATTCATCATAGATAAATTAGATGTCATCGGATGTTCTTGCTTTGATATTAGAACTTAACAGAAGAAAAACACACAAGTAGAAAATGGGATTAGGTGAGTTAAACATTTGTAGATAAATCTCAAAAAAATTACACAAAATTTTGTTACAAGTAGTAATATGCAACAGCAAGTATGAAAATCATAAGTATATATTTTTTCTACGCAGAAATTTTATTGCAAGATTTTGATTTATGGTGCTATGTATCATAATACCATAGCAAAGGTCTAAGTGCCAGAAGAAGGAATGGGAGCAACTGGGAGCTCTTTGAAAATCTGCATGTTAGTACTTTCTCTGATTCTTGAGCCAGAACATAATTAGGATAGTGAATTATATTTCATCTACATTTTATACATTACCGATTATAGTAACTAGATTACTTTGTGTGAATTATAGGACTGATCTATATCAGGTCGCAAGAGTCAGAAAGGTTTAAAGGTCCCTCCCCTCAAAACAAATATATGCCAGTCCTCTGGTAGAATATTCATTATGTGCTATTTAATTGAATTAACTATTTCTAAATATGTATATTTAATATATTGTATTCTCAATTAAGATACTGATTAATTTGAACAACTACTCTGTTCAAGCAATCTGTGCAATAATATTGTATACCTAAGAACTATATTTTGTGCTTACATTTTCATAATATATGTTTTCTACATTGAAACTAGCTGTTACAAAGTGCTAAATCAAGACTGCTTTAATTTATACTGTGATCTATTACTTCAGATGTATGTAATTGAGTACTCAATTGTAAATACAAGTTCCAGTCTCAAAATATTTTGAAATTATAAATATAACAGACTGATTCTCAGTGTATTGAAGTATGGCATTTAAGACAAATCATTGCTTATGAATAGTTTTATGCCCTTGCAAGTATTGTCCTATGCTGTGAAAATGGTAACTCAGAAAGGAATTGGGTCCCAATAGAGAAAAATATTTTTCTACTTACGGTAATTGCTTTGAGCTGAATTCCCTAGGTCTCCAATTTCTTCAGTAAGATACTGTTATGTTTTTTTCTGACTTGGGTGCAGCTCAGTGGATTTTATTCCCAAATGAAGAGTTACAGAATTGCAGCATGAAACTTTTAACTTTAATTGCAATAAAATGTAATGTCTTCTTTAAGCTGACCTTTGATTTCAGGTGACTTAATGGATACATCTATTCTATATGATTTTCTAGGCAGCAATAGAGAAATAGTTAACACTGCTTTCTCTGAGGTATTTCAACTTCTCAGATCATCCATGGACCTGGAATTTCTATGAAATCTCCCATCCAAATAGTAACCAGGCCCAACTCTGCTTAGTTTCAAATGCCACACCAATACATTCTGAGCTTGTCAAATTTTCCTTTTTGTTAATAAGGTTTATAGTTAGCAAGACCAAGAAACAAAAATGACATGTTTCAGGGTGGTTTCTATAAAACAACTCTGGGTTAAATAAAAATTTTTGAAGTCCCCATCTTGATAATACTCTGTCTTTTTAACATAACATTTCTGTCATGACTTTCACATTGAGCTGCCTTTTTTGAGGTAAAGTTTCTTTTCCACTTTTCTACAATGGCCTATAAGTGGCCTATTGCAATCTTTTAGCATAGTCCAATGTAAAGAATAAATCTCATTTCGTGTACACATTATGAACAAAGTACATAAGATCACAGTTCTCTGTTCTGACATAAGTGAACACAAATCCTGAGATTCTGATTAAGTCTATATGATACAAAGGAACACAGAAAACTATATTTAGACAGAATGATGAGTACCTACTTCAAACAGAAATTACATCTCTGAAAAGAAGGAAGCCATAATATATGACTTGTATCCAAGGGTGTTTCAACACAAATTTTTTTATCTTATAATGGTTCCATCTCATAGAATTTTATATACTCTATAGTGCTTCCAGTTGTAATATCCTATACTCTCCTGCTGCTTTCTTTTATAGCAAAACAAAACAAAATGCTGACAAGAAAAAAAACAGGTGCATAGAGCACGACCATCACTTTTTGATGATCTTAACACTTAGTTGATGTAGCAAAATTCAAGACTGCATGGGTTCTTTTGGCAGTTGCAACACACTGCTGGCTCCTACATAAATCTACCAGGATGCCCAGATATTTCTCACCAGTACTACCACCCAGCCAGGTATGCACTATGATGTTCCTATGCATCTCTTAAGTGCAGAATCTTACTAAGAAGAGAAAAACTGACAAAATATCACCCTTGTATAAGATCTTGAAATGGGGAGCAATCTGATATATTTTTAAATCAGCAAACATTTGTATTGATTTGTATTGACCTCTTTCTTTTTAGGTAAGAATATATTGTATCTAGCAATGAAGTAATGAGCAATTAGATTTCAGATCCTCTACTAGCATGCTATCAATGGAAATCAATTTTCTATCAGTGAACATTTTGGAAACTCCCCTACGTTTTGTATTGATTCATAAATATATCTATAAGTATGGAAATTTGTGAAACAAATATGTATCTTTTGTTTTTCCATCTCTTTTCAGTTGCCATTTTAGTTATTCCAGCAAGAGACAAATTAGACCCTTATAGAGGCTTTGTTTACACACTAAGCTAAACCACAAACTAGCCAACCATATTTTGGCCTTGTGGTGAAAAGCCAATGTAATTAGCTCATTGTTCAATTTTTGTGCAATGTCTCTCCTCTCAATTGAAAAAACAGAGAAAGGCTGAATTTATAGTTATTACTGAATTTTTGCTAGTCATCTCTGCCTCATCTGAATACGTTTTGCAGAGAACAACTTCTTTCAAGAGCATGATACCAGCTCCTCGGATTTTTTTTTTCTAAAATGGTGCAAACCTATATCATAAGCCTATTGTCTCTGTTGGCAAAGAAATTGGGCTTTAGGTTAAAAATCTGCCCTATAAATTTTTACATTTTTCTAAGATGGTGTTTCTTAATATTTTTGCTCTCTGGTCTCCTTCCTGCTTTTTTAAAATTACAATTTTGCAAAGGTAGATTGACAGGCGACGCTCGCAGTTCTTCGGCCCCCTCCTCCCTGTCGACACGAAAGACGAATTCAGGTATTTAGCCCCGCCTCTTAGCTTTTGGCTATCCAGTGACCCAGGAGAAGGTTTGAAATTCATAAGGAGGTGGGCCAATTGGCTTGTGAGTTCACTAGCGTGTCCGCCAATGGGAGAATTCTGTTTGCA